GGTATCTCTTCAGATGAATTTCACTATTGATGTTAGAAATTATGAGAGATTTAACCTAATTATCGCATTCAATTCAGAACTTCATCCCGTATAGTTAAAGAGAGAGAAGGAAAGAGACTCTTACTAAAACAACGAAGAAACTGACTCATATTCAGTTTAAGCAGTTACAAATATTTATCAACTCCTACGCCTTAAGTTTGAATTTTTTTTTTTTTAATGGAAATGCTTTTAGAAATTCTTCCTACACATTAATGTTAATTTCAAGTTATTGTCAATATCATTCAGCCATTTTCTTTAAAACCTACCTAGGCATATAACTTGAGAATTATTTATATATATTTATTTAAAGTCAATATCATTAATTTTATTTTAATTTCAATTTAATTTATTGGCAGCTAGTAAATGTTTCTTTCTCAAATCACTCTCTTTTTATTTTATTCATATATTCAATTTTTTAAACGTATGATATGTTACAGTCCACCTATTCATATTTTTAAAAAATAAATGTTAGCACAAATATCAATAATAAATATATTAATAATAATAGTACGTTAAAAATTTATTCAATTTAAGTTTTAATTGTAATAAAATCATATATAATAAACATATTTATTATTTATATATTATGTGCACATAGAACACTAAAATACTAGTTTCAATAAAGTATACCATATAAATAATCAGTAGATTTTTTATTTCTTTTAGGAATGCTGTTCTTTTCCATTTTTTGTAGAAGTTCTTCAGCAATTAAATGAGATGAAAGAGGGAGAGAGAGAGAGAAAAAAAAATGAATAAAAAATGTGTTGTAAAAATTCCTTCTCTTTTCTCCTCGAATGCTTTTCATCTTCCTAGAGAATGGAATCAAAAGAAAATATCTGGTAGCAAACCGCAACTTTCGAAGGGTTCCATCATACCTTTTAATCAATAAAATAATAATTCGAAAAATTGGAATATTCATGAGCAAACGAATTTAGCGTACCAAAAGGCAACACACCCTTAGGATCCGTACGTGTTTTGGAATAGAATTTAGGGGGAAACGTTAGGTTATAGATAAAATCACTCATTCATAAAACAAATTCATACAACATTTGAAAAACCTTATTGTATTTTTTCACAATTCTCTATCACATCAATCATCTCTTTTTCTCTCTCTCAGCACCACTTTCCACACAAAATTTTGCACCTATACAAAAACTTTCTCAACGAAAAAAGAAATTGTACGTATTTTGTACTCCAATCAACATCAAGGTGCTTATAATGGAAGAGGAAGGTAAGATGTTTACAGGGTTGAATTTGAAGTGGAAAAGTAGGTAGTTGCAATTAAGCATGAATATCCATTGCACTAATTAGAACTAATTAGAGTTCTTGACGAAACGAATATCCATTATTGATAAGAATAGCCCTATCTACAAGGAAGAAAGAGCATGGTGCATTGAATATTTTTGTGATGATCGATTGTGAACCTCATATTCATTAGAGGATAAAACGGGTTGCAATCAAGTGTGTAGGATTGTGATATTAAGCATAATGTCGGCAGGATCCGTTAGAATTGGCTCTGTATTCACATTACACGCCCCGTGAAAGAAGATTGAAAAAATGAGTGTTATTTACAGTGACATGAATGAGAGTGAGTCATGAAATGGCAACAATAACAATCCATGGTAGGGTATGCTATTGACGTAAGTAACTGTAACTTGCTGATCAAACGCCCAATCAAAATAATAACACTTCCCCCTTTCCGATGTGAAAGTGCCAATATAACAATAAAAGGAAACTATGTTGACCCGTGATGGGAAATTATAAATCGTACACATAGCCACCACAATCATCATCAACTATATATAAGTTTCAACTTGGCTATTATGCCTCACCCTCTATCATGCCAATTAATTTCTTACATTCTTTCTTCCTATTACTTTCCGGAGACATAATGGAAATTCATAATTAACACTCAATGCACACACAAATTAAAAGCATAGAAAACTGTATATTTATATGTATATACTTAATAAATACTTTGAACATGTACGCCTTCATTCTTGCATCTGTTTTCATATATCCCAGAACAGGATTTGGTATCATATATTATTTTTGGGAGGTTATGATCGAAATAAAGACTTTGTTGCTGTTCTATATAGCTGGATGAAGGCAACGTGATAAGCTAAAAGCTCATCAAGGGTTATAATAATATTGTGAATAATTTAAAAATGTGATAGTTGTTAGCCACAAGACAAAAGGGGCACTGCTAAGACAGCAAGATCAAGAGAATTGTCTATTAGTTTATTGCCTCTCCATCGTTTAACTCTTTTCACCAATCTTCCACTCTTGCACATCGCGGAACACAATGAAATCTAACTTTTTCAGTTTAATATTTCTCTAAAGTGAAAACTGGCTGGTGAAACATAATTAAATCAGGCAAACAATTCCCGCAATCCACATCATTTGACTACCATACATCAGATCCATCACAAGGGATTAAAATAAAGGAAATAATATAAGAAGGATAACCATGAGTGAAAAGGCATATTTTAAGAACAGTATAGATCCAAACAAGCAAAAGCAGGACATCATGTTCAATCAGTTTAAAGTTATTTATCATCCGCTTAAAAAAAACAAAAACAAACAAACAAAGCCATAGAATGAGGAACAAGTTAGAATATGTATGTTAGATTAGTGGGTTACAGTAGGATTAGGATATAGATTTTGCAAATAAAGTGGCATGCTCATACGACTTTTACAATGTCTTTTGGAAAAGGAGAAAAAAAAAATGGAGTTGTTTATTGGAGGGAGTCATAGTGCTCGTGAATGCACCAACTAAAAGTCCCAGTAAAGTTGATGGCGCTGAAGCTCACCATTTTGTCGGATTTAACAGTGAGAGACACAAAAATGAAGGAAAAAGAATAACCCGTTGTGGAAAATTGATATTAATATCGGGATCGGCCACTTCTTTTTCTAGGCCATGCAAGATCGATTACTTTATCTATAACTTGAAATTGCTTTTACAGTTTCTAATTTCAAAATCTTTCGGGAGAAACAAAAGGGGTCTCATTCGAACTGATTCTCGGCACAGGGAAGCAAGATAAAGAAAGAAACAGTACTCGCAGGTGGTCTAAAATTCCCATTTCCCGCAGCATGGCTGTCCCTGACTTAATTGGGAAAAGGAAAACCCTAGTTTCCTTCACAAGCAGCTCCTGCACTGGTTTTAGGTAGCCTTGTTCGTTCTATAGCAAGAATCACCATAATACAGTCGTGGAGGTTAATTTTTTAGAATTCTATGGTTAATATTTTCCATAAAAGCTTCATCTAACCTCTTGCTAGGGTCACCAACCAATGGCTTTAAAGCATTCATAAGTTGTTGGAAGTTCCATACGAGAGATAAAGGCAGTATGGTCACCTCTCTGTGGTCCATTGTCTAACAATCTGTAACTGAAAATGTTCCTTCTTGTTAGTCCCGTGCACCCAAAACAAAAATTGTTTGTTGTGACTTGCAGATATTTTTTTTAAAAAAGAATATCTTGATCTACAAAGGTAGGATGAATCTATATATGTATGTGTGTATATATATATATATATATATATATATGTATATGTATATATATGTATATGTATATATATATATATATATGTATATATATATATATGTATACACTCTTTTATTTTTGTTAGTCAAGATAAAAACCGTATAATTGTTCCTAGCTTCCTAATATAATATAAGTAACAATAGTCCTGATTAATTAATGCATACTAACTTCTGCTTATGCTGAATCTGCAGCCTGGAATTTATATATTAAATTACTCGACCATATGTGACTTTGCCGACTAAAACAGTACAAACACAGATCAAAGGTTTAATGAATTGAATGAGACATGTTCTATGGAGAAATCTCAATGATGGCCATTCATCCACTGTGACTTCTGCCTGCATTGGAGGCTACACAGTAGACCATTTCAAAACAAAAGAAAAAGGCTAATAAGGTGAGTGAGTGAGCGAGTGAGCTCAAGACAAAAGCACAAGCAGCTAACAAGCACAAATTATTATAATTATTATATTCACCACAGACAGCACTAGAGCTAGCTACGACACGAAAACTAAAAGAAAAAATATTTTCAAATCAAACGACTATGCCTACGCGATGCCTCATCACGAATCAATAATGTTGATGTACAAATTAAGAACCACCATCTTCCAGTAGATGTTCCTATAGCTCAAGTTCGAGGCTGGGATTGCTCCACAAAATTAATTAAGAGGAAATTAAATAGGGGCATGAATTTAAGGCAAACAAATTAATTAGAGTAAGATCTGGGGACAGTGATTCCGCATCTATGGAAATCGTTAGCTCAAATTTCCTTGATTTTGGATCGATCGAATCAATACCTGATCGGTTTAATTCCGGAAGAAGAAGCCGAATTGTTGAAGAATCATCGTCACAAATCAACACGATTGGTACAAGTTTATTCTCTCATATGACTGCATATCAGAATTCTGATCACATAACAGAGTTATGCATCTGAAAAGTCAATGCTTTAAATCTGAAAAAGATTTAAATAAGTCAAATCAGAAGAAAAAGGAAAAAACAAATACACCACTATAATCTTATCCCTATGTATATAATAATATAATTTGACAGAAAGGTTTAGAGGAAGAATCTGGAGTTTGAGATAAGCTAGTTCGTTGTTGGACCTATCTGTATCTTCCCACAGCTTTATTGAACCGCAAAACAAGGTGTGGGAGCAAGAGTGCCATGGCATGCATGCAAAGGAACTCTATGGATGCAGTTCAAGAAAGCTGTGGAAGAATACAAAGAGGACCATGATATTGAAGAGTGAAGATGCCCCACAAGACAGTGTATAAAGGGTTTTTCAAAAACAAAAAGAAAGAGAAAAAAATTGAACAAGCATGGAAGGTAGGTTCATAACATAATCAGAACCCTAATGAAGAGAAAGAAAGAGAGAGACAGAGAATAGGAGAGGGTAAGCTAAGAGAGAGAAAAGATGTAGGTGTAGGGGAAGAGATGGTGTGGTATTTATAGGAGAATTTAGGAGTTTTTTATGAAGTTTTTTATTTTAATTTAATTTTCTTTTTCCACCAATCCCTAGAAGAATATCTGGCCCAAGAGACTACACATTACTGAACCCTAATTAAAAAGCTGACTAATTTGATCCCATTGGAGATTAGACACCTAAAATATAACAATTATAATCAACAAACCTGTGTAAAGTTTTCCTTTTATTGGCGTAAAATGCCATTTAATATTTATGCGGCTATGATGCACCTTTCCGGATCTAACGGTGGTTGTTGCATTTATGGGGGGCACACCCTGGGCCCACCTCTAGATCTGTCCAGTTTATCCCAACTCCACGCGCTCCCTTTACTGTTCATTAACATAAGCCGTCCAAATTAATAATTTATTAAGCAAACCAATTCGTGATTAACGGACAAAACAACGTATAAAACCAAACCACGCTTCCCAAAGCTGTCATCTTAATAATCAATGATACAAACCATTTTCCAACATCAAATGCCCACCAAATAAATAATCACACATTTTGGTCTCACTAAATTATTATTCAACATTTGTGAACCATGCAACTATAATGACTCTATAAATGTTTTCTTTTTCGACTACAAACAACTTCTTTCACCCAACCCAACGCTAATAAATAACAACAAACGTATCCACCGTTATGCTCATGTTTGATACTTATTCATTTCGACTTTTTTTTCTTTTTTTTTTTAATTAGGAAAGTTTTTGTCATCCCACTACAAACACGTTTCTTTTAGTAATTTGTAGCCTTTTTCAATATATTATCTTTTACTTTTCTATTTTAAACTTAAATATGTTTTTAATCTTAGTAAATTAGACGTATTTTAATTTTTTACTTCTGTAATTTTTTTTACTTTTAATTTTTCTAAAATAAAAAGTTAGTGTTTTTTTGTCCCTGGTATTAAACGATACTCACTGACTTATTTATAGGTTGAATAAAAAATTTAAGTGAACCTTTCAAATGATATCTCTAGTGTTATAATATAATTTCAACAACTTCTTTAAAACAAATTAAGATTTGTAAAATACAGTTGTTTATCTATTGTGATATATATAATTATTTATCTTAATTTAAAATAAAATAACATTTTTTACTATATATATATATTCATCATTATCAATAAGATTTATATTTTTTTCATCATTATCAAACTTTACACCAAAATCCTAATGCATAATTATCACATATATTAATACTTTAGTCGGATCTCTACCACACTACCAACATGTCTCTCCAATAATGAAGGTCTAGCAAAAAAAAAAAAATCGTTCTCAATTGTCATTACCAACAGATACTTATCATGATTTCTTGACTACTAAAGTATAATAAAAAGTCTAACAAAAAAAATAAAGTGGAGGATATATAATGTAAATATCATTTTTTTTCTTATTAGTTAACGTCAAATAAGATTAATGACAGTCGACATTAATATAATTTATTTATATTTTTTATTTTAGTGATTGTTCTGTTAATTTAAATATTTATTTTATAAAAAAATTCAAAATAATTTTACACGTTTTAAAATAATATTTTACGTCGTGTTAGAGTTGACTATTTTTATGCTAATAACACCGCATTTTAATGATGCTAATATTTAAAAATTAAATTTATGTTTCTTATAATGATTCAAAAATAAATTCTCAAACTGGATTCCCTCATATATATTATAATTTTTTACAATGTAAATTTGCTGGCATAATAGTTTTAAGTCAATTTTTTTGAAAATTTAAGACAATAAAAAACAACACAAACATCTAATATAATCAACAATTCCAATTTGTAATTAATCTCCAATCAAAATTTCTGTAAATCGATAGTAGCAGACTACTAATTTTATGAGAATGAAAGTAATATATTAAATAATTTTATATTTTTATCTTGTTACTAATATAACAAAAATGAATATATAATTTAATATAATTATAACTATAAAAAATAATTCAAATAGAATTGTTTTTTATTCTTTCAAATTATTGAATGTATTAATAATTAAATAAAAACTAAAATTTTCATATATTTACTTTCTGATGTAAATAATCATATTATTTTATAACTCATTATTTCCTAAATCTTGTTTTGATAAAACATTACAAAGAAAAAAAAATTAATGGAAGTAAGGTGTACTTTCTATTCTTGCCACATATTGAAATTGTTTAAAAATAATTGATAAATTCTTCGAATTTGATGATTAAGAAAATTCACATAAAAAATAAATAAAGTTAAAGTTTTAAAGTAACTTTCTCTTGAATATGTATATATTGGGGACCTTATAGTAAAAAAAAAATTAACTAATAACAAGTAAACGAATAGGTAAAAAAAGTCATGCATTATAATCATTGTTCATGTTTTCAAATTCAATAATTATTTGAGTTTTATCTCTAAAAAATCAATGTTTTGAGACTCAGTTTAAAACAATGAAGTATATTATTATATCTTAATAAACAATGACAACATTTTAGAAGGACTAAGGCTCTCTTAGTCACTAACAAAGTTCGGTCACTCTTCGTACTAAATACAATCCCTATATATAACATGTATTCATCTTTCAAGTATTCAATTTAAAACATAAACAAATAATATTGTTCCTAAGTATACATAAATACAATGAAATTACAAACAAAACAATAAAATAGAAGATCTGACTAACAATTTTATATGAAAACAATAATTTTGTTTCATTTGTATTTCTTTTTTACAAAGTTTCATTAATGATTTTTAAACTTAACTGATGAATCTCATTTATGATCTATAACTTCCAAAATATTAATTTATAGACATACGACAGATTATGATCATTAAATAAAACTATCGGAATGAAGAATTAGGGTTAGGGATAGACTCCCTCTATCTTAGGTTACACAATACTCGAATCTAAAAAAATAAAGACAATATTTTCTCAAAGCAAACTTAAATTAATAGCTGCGTTTAATCAGCCTAGTAAATGAAGGGTAAACAGAGGTGAGAAAAGTTTGGTCTTCTATTGTATATATAGGTGTGTGCATTGCGGACCCATTTCTTTCATTTCTTGCTAATTGCTACACCATATTAGAAACTTAGCCATACGACTTGCTGTCATTATTTTATAAGTTTCTCTACCAATACTTTTCTATTTTTCACTATTAACATAAATATCTTTTATTCCCATTTAAATAATCTATTTTTACGTTCAATCTATTATTTCAAACAACGACATATAATTTTTTGAAAATTTACTTAATCATACAGTTAAGAAAAATCAATTAAATTTTTTTAAGTTGCTTTGATACATTATCGGACAATTAACATTATTACTTATATAGCTGACAATAAATATACGATGTTACAACTATTTATCTTTTTAGAATTTTATTCCAAAATTCACAAATATTTAAAAGACAGAGAATAAGTTTCTTTTATTTTGTCATTAAGTTTCTATATAGTGTCTTTTTTGGGTTTATTGGGGTTCATATGATTTTACGACGTAACTAATTGATTCTTTGATCGATATATAATCTTTATAGAAAATACATCATAAATATATTTATTTTGAATTTAGGATTAACTTCCATTACTTTCATACAGCAAGGATATCCCATCAAATTTCCCCTTCCACCTCGTCGAAAATCTCCCATCAATTTTTTTTTTTCTTAATAGAAGGATGTGATTGCTTTCTAGAAATAAAATTCCAGATTTGTTTATATTGTTTCGGAGAAAAAATTCTGAAATTGATACGGTGGAACATGAGAGGGTGTAGGAAGCAATAGTCTTGATTATTCTCATTCTCATATCCAAAGAAAAAACAACATTCTCATTTTGATATCGAATGAGTGTAACTTTTTTTTATCATACCTTCATTCCTATCAAATTATTGTATATATCCACAATATAAAAATATTAAAAAAATAAAAAAAATTAAATGCATTTTATTCAATAAAATTGATGTTTACGTTACCTGAAATGTTATACAATATTTGAATGAAATTATAGAAGAAAATATGTGTAATTAAGATTACCATTAAAGAAAAGTACCTTGTTAAACCCTTTGAATATCGAATAAGTCCAATAGTAATGAATACAAAATTATAAAGAGATAAATTAAAAGTCAGAAAGAATGGTTTTCAAATAATAATGAAACTAATAAATTGTGGGTGTGTGAATAAAAAATTGACATGGACTGTTGAAGAGGCGCGTGGAAAAGACGTGAAGTGGGTGCGGGTGTAGGAGGGGGAAGACAGTTGAAAAGAAATGGAAAAGGAGAGGAAATAAGGCCCGAAACGAGGAACAGAAATCTCGGGATCATATGGCGGCACATGGGATATAACCCCACTCCACCGCGTCTGTGCGTAGCTGCACCCACCTCCACCACTCGCTCTCAGCCTAAAACAACCACCCAACCCCAACCCATGGGAGAACCAAAATAAAACACAAGGACGTCGTCTCTTTCTTTTTGGGACCCAAAATCAACCTTTTCTTTCATCCCTTTCCCTTGTTTTTGCCATTTCTACCACTCTCCACTTTTCCCGCACCTCTCCTTTTTCTCTTTCTCTACTTCTAACTTTTACTTATTCACAAATATTATAACATTTTTCTGTTATTTCAAACAGAGATGACAATATCTCCAATTAAGCACGAATTTTAATGTTTCTCCAATTCGACAAAGCAACCAAAAAAAATCAATATCTTTAATCGAGTGCTTCTTCTTTTCTTCACCTACACCTTTATTGCGTAACAAAAAGAATCAACACCATGGCACCATCATCAATGTATCCCAAATTCACTTATCATTAATTTTCTGAAAATTTTCATAATAGAATGGTGTTGAGAAGTTTGGCACAAGAAGAACGTTTAGAAGTTGGCTTAACAGATCTTGGTTTCTTTACTTGAAGATACATTGAAACAAACTTATTTACAATTTTCCAGACACTTACAAAGACATGGGCAATCGATAATTTTGCAATTTACTCTACAAATTGGACATTGAAAATTTACATGTTTCGTTACTTTAGAAACCAGAACAACAATACATTTGGTCGGATTTATAGTGTTGCCTTGAAATGTACGTGGTTGGGTTAATTTTGAAGAATCATAGATAAGATCCGTGTAAT